TGGGTGGGTGGGGGATTCCTTTCATAGGCATGCTGGTGTTCTTGTTTACATACTGTATGTTGCTGTGCATATACAAGGGATAAACATGACACCAACTGTTCAATGAATCATTAAAGATTCGTAACATTGCTTTATTTTTTAAATGTATTTCTCTTGTGGAGTATGATAGAGACTGTAATAGAAATATACTTCATATATAGTTAAATACTGTATTGAAGGAGTGCATTCCAATGCTCCAGCAGTAGATATGTGGGGGCTGACAGCTGTTCTGCATATACTGAGGGGCAATCAACGTGCTAAGGAAAAGACAGAGAGCAGCAGAGATCATTCTGAGCTAGACTCTGGATCAGTCTGCACCATTCAGCCCGCTTCTGGGTGATGTAGGCTGGAGTGATGATTTGCACAGGGAGGCGCGGTGAACCCTCCACCCTGGCCTTCTCACACAAGGCCTCAGCGATACAGATAACATACATGCCACAGTCATAGCTGTTCTGCTGTGAAGGGCAGGGCTCCTCCACAAACAGCGCCTTTCTCCCAGCACCTAAGAAAGGCTCTAACTTGCTGGCGATGCGCCGTGCGTGCAGTGAATTGCTGCCGTTTTGAGAGTCATAGTGAGCAAAGTGGTTGGAGTTGTGATGGTAGACCAAAAGGCTCCAATGGGATCCCCCAGCGGTCTGATTGGAGTTGTCATTAACAGCTAGGAAGACCCAGCGACGAGAGGCAAGATCCAGCGGCTCCAGAAATAGGGCTAACTCATCAGGGCAAGAAGCACACTTGATGAACTGGGTGACCTCCGGGCTGATGAAGATGATTGTCCCTCCCAGGACTCTGAAGCGCTCAGCAGCAAAGTACTCGAAGGCAAAGCCAATAACTTGGTCATTGAGCCAGTAAGGTCCTTCCAGTAAGGACACATCAGAGCGCCGCAGCAGGCTGTCCTGATAGCTCAACACTACAGGGTCCATCCTCCTACACGGTCAGGGAGTGTCAATCTGAAAAACAAAGAGGAAGAGTTTAGTGTTGAATGTTTATCTGATTAATTGATTAGTCAATCACCAGAAAAATAATCAGCAACTACGTTGGTTGTACAAAACAAGCAATCTGAAGATGTGAAAGCTGTGATTTGATGTGGATTTTTTT